ACTAATAATTGATTTTAGAATTTGCGCCAAACACAAAATGTAATTACAATAATTAATGTTACCGTCTCCAAACCTGACAGCTCTTTGTCAATTTTTCCAAAATGATTTAATAAAATTCTTCTACTGAATGAACTTATAGCCTACCATAAGTTGGTTAAGGTATTGGTTCAGATAGAAATATTTGTTTAAAATCATCGATAGTCTCCCTTGTGAAAATCTATACATATCTTGTAAAGACTGGAGATTAAAATACATCTCTGTCTGACATCCATGCTAATTAAACAGTCTCAGAACACTTCTTCTGTTCTAACAACAATCTCTTTCTAATGAGAGAAATATTTTTTCGAAGAAAGCCTTTGTATGGTTTATGAAGCAAGTGAAGAAGGGTTAACAAATCTTATTTCATGTTCACTGACCTCCTTTGAGGCCAACCTTCACAGGTTCTACGTTTGTTCTCAGTTTAATGCTTTACAGTATGACGATAGAAATTGGTTTGGTTTGTTTGGAAATTTGCTCAAAGGTAATCAGGGGCTATCTGCACTAGCCGTCCATAATTTAGCAGTGATAGATTCGAGGTAAGGCAATCAGTCAACACCACTCACAGCCAACTCTTGGCCTACTCTTTTAGCAACGAATAATGAGAATAACCGGAACGTAATAATGCCCGAAAGGCTGAAAGGGCGAGCTTATTCGGTGACGGATTTCTGAATCTGCGACTCGAGCGCCCTAAGGTTAAGACAGGCACAAGCGATAGAAATTACTGAATGGATGTGACAACTCAGTTTCAGAAAGTATCAAATTACCATGTTGAAGAAAGCGCAAATAGCCTTCTGTGTGGTTTTGTGCTATAATAAAACACAACGACGTAATATTAAATTTGAATATTTTATCATTACTTATTAATAAAATTAAATTTTGCCGTAAAGTCTAGATGGAGTTAAAGACAAAAATGGCAGATAACGAGGAGGTGAACGGAGGTAACTCTAACTTAGGAAGTGGATTTTTTGGGGTGTTACGAGATTGGGTCACAAATAAAATACCCCAAATAAAACCCCTTACTCCATATAATGTATATTCACATTACGTACCTCTAGCAGGATCTTTGAGTTATTCTATATTTTCAGTTACCGTATTTATCCCTGAAATTTCAACAAGGTATGCATAAGATGAAGGTTTCTGATTTCTTTGTAAGTTATTCGTGACGTTTTTGTTTCTACTGTGTTCTTGTATGAATGCTTATATTCAACAATAGTACAAACTCCAGAGGAATAAGAACAAACATAACATTTTTATTTACAAATCGCATAGTATTAGTAGTACATACAAATACTAGACAACAGCAAGTTAAAACTTAAACTAAAGTTTAAATTACAAATGGGCACCAATTTCTAATCCATATGAAATTATATAGGGCCTAGTAGGATAGTGACTCTAGATCACGTGATGTACATACACTGTTCAGGTTAAATATCACTTTCCTGAGTTGGACCATTTGCTTTAGTAATTGGTTTAGAAGGGTAACTAGGTTGAACCCTTTCTTGTACATTTGTATATGCTCAGATCAGGAGCTGTGTGGTATGAATTGTGTAAATTAACTGTTTTTATTTAACAATCAGTGACTCAGCAGTAAGTCTGCAGGCTTACTATGCTGAATAATACTGCATTTCTTCGATACCTGTGGTTAACACAGATACAGCCCATTGTGTAGCTTTGTGTTTAATAACAACCAGATTATGCTGATTCATTAAATCAAGTAGTATTTTAGTATGCAGTTTAAGTGTTGAGGATTTACAAGTATAAGTTTACCCTACATTATATAAGTTAACCCACAAGGACACTTACTATTACTATTAGATATATCATACAGACTAGGCATAACCAGTAACTTGAGTAACCCTACAATTAGTGTTAACGTTATAGGGTTAAGTCTAGGCATAATGACAAAGTAGTAATAATAATAGAATTTGAGCTAAGGTGTAGTTTACTAGTGAAGAAATTTGTTTCTGTTTTATCATAATATTTTTGTTTTTGAAAATTTCTAGGATGATCAGGACCTTTAGTTTTTCCTTCTACACTCAACAGTTTATAAACATTGTAATTATGATAATAAACAGTAGTAAACTTTAAAAAAATTAACAAGGAAAATATGCAAAAGAATTTGAAAAAATATTTAAAATGATAATTGAAAAATTGAACTGATAATCGTAATAATGCAGAACAAAATGGTAACATACAATTTACAAAATGAGGGACCAGGTTCAAAGCACCAAAAAGTAATGATAAATACTGTGTAGCATATGAAGAAGAAACAAGGATAATAGTGTTTAACTTCTTCAAAAGGACTTGTAGAATATCTGTGACTGAGCCATTAATTGGAAAATTAGTTTCACAACTGAGGACTGTCATGTACTTGGGGTATGGAAATATGTTAAGCCTTAAGGCATGTAAAAATTCAACTCGGTGAGCTGAGAGGCACTCTGTTACAAGATTAATTATTATGGCCTGATAGAATAATTTTGATATTACTTGATCTGTGCTTAGAAAATTGAGTTTCTATGTTTTATGTAATATCAGAATATTTTATTATTTTGTACTTGTTTTAGAATATAGATAAATTATTCAGTATTAAGTTGAGAAGGATTTCAAGTAAATTATGTTTAATGTGAACTTCCATTTACATTATTTGTAAGATCAGTGAGAAAAATATTTTTTTGTGTTAAGTCCTTACAGTTGATTTTAAGCAAAGGAACTGTATCTTCTCAATATGGACTTTAAATAAAGATTTTTTAGAGTAATGTGATCTCCCATTTATGTTACTTAGTCTTTAAGTTTAAACAGTCTTAGAAAGTAAAATGATTAAAAAATGTAATTTGATTATGTTTTAAAGGCTTTTCCCTAGACGAAGTATAGCTGTGGCAAATAGTCTGCTTTTAAACTCTCATTTGGGATCAGGTTTGTACTTGTACACTCGCCACCACTTGGCAGAGGCATCTACTTACTACAGAACCATGTACAGTGTCTATGGTGCTTTACTTTTCAACTTTGGATCTGTTTTGCTGTGGGCAGTAACTAAGACTTTACTACCAGAAAATGTAGTGGTACGCACTGCATTTGCTGTATCTACATCTTTGTGTATGCTGACTATTGGAAAGGAATACTTAGATTATGTAGACAGTAAGGTTGAAAGCAGCAACTAAGATTAAAATTATTTAGTGACCACATAGTGTATTGAAAATGTAGTTAATGGCAATAATAAAAATACATCTAACTTAAACCTATAGAGACTTTAACAGATTGGAATGTTTTTTTTTTTACGTACAAAAGGTTATTTGTGTATATTTAATGTACTTGTTTAAAGTATCAAACCTTTAAGAAATTTACATTATTATTTATGTAAACAAAGATGTGCTTTCTTAACCCTCATCAGCACACTTGGGGTCCGCATGGATCCCAACAACTTTCTTGGTTGTATACCTTTTTACATAGTCATTGCAAATTTATATCAGTTAATATAATTGTCAAACAGAAACCATGGATCGATACAACATTGTTTTTGTAACAGGCAGATGGAGTACGTAGCTATAATCTAATGCTTACCTGGGGTCCACGCTGACCCCATACTATCATTGACCTTCACTGTAAATGCAGTTTGGCCTATAGCATATGAAACAAATTTCTAATTTATTTTGTTATATAGGTTGTTGTAGAGGATAATTTATCAAAGTAGTACAGTATCATCTGGTCTATTTGTGTACAACATCACTGTGGTAAGCATGTATGCACATCTCATTCCTCAGCAAGTGTTCTCTGTGATGACTTCTTATAATGCCCTATTTTGTTAAAACCTTGTTTGATAAATGTTGTAAGTAACCTGCTTATTGGATTTGCAATCCATAGCCTACTATAAGGATACAATTGTGTTGGAGTCTGGTTGGACCAAGGTGAACTACATCGTACACTCTCAATTATCTTTGAGTTGAATTTTTCAGTATTGTGGTAATTTTATCATATATTGGTGGATAATGACTTAAATATAGGAGTATAAAGAACTTTGATATTTTTTTATACATTGTTTGTATAAGGAATGGTTTAATACCACTTATTTGTATACTGAGGATCAATGTAATTTTGTAATTTATCAATTTGTCAACATATTTCCTCCAGAATACATATATTTTTATGTTGTTTACATTGCATGCTAACCCTAGTAAAACTTGTAATGCAGTTGGTTTTTGGAATTTCAATCCAGAGCTTACTATAATGGTAAATTTATGCTCAGGTGTTCCATAACAACTTTTCAAAGGTGTGCTGACAAGTGTTAAGACAACTCTTTGTTTATCTGATAAGGGGTAAAAAAACTTAAATTTCAGAAAGCATTCATTAAAATATATAACACACAGATCATTTTCACTCTGTCTCTACTAACTAGTATCTAATCTGTTTTGAAAGTGTCATGTATAGATTTCTTGTGTCCTGTATTTCAAAAACATTTCAGCTTTCATTTTGTGAGAGAGGGGATGCACATAGTGTTTGTTGAGTAGACTGCTTATGCTAGATTAAAATTTGAAACTTGTAAGTGCAGTTGATGTTTTGGAACAATAGGGAAATGTATAATATGTTAAGAAGTCTAAGAAAAATTACTGCAAGTTAAACTTATAATAATTCCATGATTTGAACAGTGAAAAAATTATAAGTTACTATTAATAGTGATTTAAAAAAAATTAACTCTAACTATTTGATGGAATTTAAGTTAGTAAGGTTTGATAACCTTATGTACCTTCCTAGTTATTTGTACGTATATAATGATATGTTTTATGTATGTGGCATAATCATTTGTAGAATCAGTTCATGGAGTCAATGAATTAAAAAAAAATGCACTAAGGCTTATGGAAAATTAGCTGTACACTAAAATATCTTTTCCCTTACAAAGTCAAATTAGTCATAAAATGGATGATTATAAATATTAATTTAACTTTTATTAAGAAACAAAAGAAATTATTTAAAAAAGAATGATATTCAATTTCTGTTGAAAATTTGTCATAGGAATGTCTAAATTCAAATGTAAACTTTTGGTTCAAGTTTTTTTTTATTGCAGAGACTTAATGTTTTTCATTTCTTGTTTGAACATTATACCACAGATTTTTACATTTACTGTTCATTCATATTCACTATAAATTGGCTAGTGAGTGAAGGGATATTTTCCGGTATTAATATGAACTATGTTGATTTTAGATGTTGCCAGTGTAAACAATATAAATGTATGATGTTATTTGTTCTCTTACTAATTTGTTTTTTATCCTTAGTATAAAAAATAAAATATTTTATTCTTTAGTGAATTTACTGAAGAAGTATAATAATAATAATAATAACCATACTCTAAAGCTTTTTCAACATTGGTAGAAGGTCTGTTTTAAATTACAAGAAAACAGGTTACATCTTGAATTTTAAAAATAATGTAAATGGTTAAACCTAATGCCAACATTTTTACAATTCAAAGTAAGCAATAGAAACCTAAATAACAGTAAATTACTAAAAACTCAATATAACTTTTTGAATGGTGAAGTATGACTTAAACTAAAATAAGAATATAGGAAAAAACTGCAGTTTATTAATTAATGAACTTTAGAAGTTTTTTTAAATAAATTTATAAAATTTTAAAGGGACAAAAAGGAGCTTATTAGCCCATCAAGGATGTCCCTTCCAGCTCCCAACTATAACCATCCCTTACTACTCATGTATTCATCCAATCTTTTCTTGAACTCAGTTAAATTCTCTGCCTCTTCCACCCCTAAAGGTAGCTCATTCCAAAAGCCAACCACCCTGTTTGAAAAGTAATACTGTCTAAACTGCAGATGATTCCTATGCTGCCAAAATTTGAATTTATGACCCCTTGTCCTATTGTTTTCATTGCTAAACACAAAAGGTTTGATGGATCTATATTATCAATACCCTTAATAATGTTAAACACCTCAATCAAATCCCCTCTGACCCTTAGTTAGAGATTTTAGTCTCTCTGCATAGGACAATCTCACCATTCCAGGTATCATCCTAGTGGCTCTTCTCTGAACCTTCTTCAACAATTTAATGTCCTTCTTGAGGAAGGGAGCCCAAAATTGTACACAGTACTCTAAATGAGACCTTACAAGTGGTCTATACAGTGAAATAATAATATCCCTTGTCTTGTATTCAGTGTTTCTATAGATGCTACCCAAAATCCTATTAGCCCCATTGCTAGCTTCAATATACTGTTTAGATGACGTAAGTGATTTTTTTATCACAACACTAAAATCCTTTTCCTCAACCATAATATATAATGTATTCCCATTTAAATTGTAACAGTAATTTGAATTGTGAAAATCAACATGCATCACCTTACATTTTGGATAGTTAAACATCATTTGCCATGTATTAGCCCAGTGCATCAAATGATCTAAATCTCCTTGTAAGTCTGCAGTATCTTTGATACAGTTAGCCACTCCAAAAATCTTAATGTCATCTGCAAACTTCAAAATTTTGTTGGTCATTCCAGAGTCAATATCATTAATATAAATCACAAACAGCAGAGGACCCAGCACAGAGCCCTGAGGCACACAGCTTGTAACTGTGATCCAGTCAGATCTAATTCCATTTATTACTTCTTGCTTTCTACTCTCCAGCCAATTTTCTGTCCAATTTAATAACATTTCCCCGACACCCACAGATTTAATTTTTGTAACAAGTCATTTGTGAGACACCTTATCAAACTTTTTCTGAAAATCAAGATAAACCAAATGAACTCTTGTGGTAACATCATCAAAGAATGTCAGAAGATTTGTTAAACAAGATTTTCCCGTAATGAAACTATACTGGCTCTTTGACACCATATCAAACTACTGACTCTGCAATGCATCTTTAATTACACTCTCCAAAACCTTTCCAAGTACTGATATAAGACTAACTGGCCTATAATTGCCTGGAGAATGTTATCACCTCCTTTAAATACTGGACTAACATTAACCAACTTCCAATCTTCTAATGCTCTTCCACTACTCAATGACCTATTAAAAATATTAGCTAGTGGTTCACAAATAAAATCTTTAAGTTCCTTGAAAACTCTAGGATTAAAAGTTTTTGGTCCAGGGGATTTATAACTTTTTAGGTTTCTCAATTTTTCTCTTACAATTTCAGAATTTAAAATTATATCTTTTACATCAATATTTTTTAGATACATTAAGTGCTATGGCTGAGGCATAATAGTTGTATCTTCCTTCGTAAAAACTGAAAAGAACATGCAATTTAATAAGTTTACCATCTTATAATCTTCCGAGATCAGCTCCCTGCTATTGTTTTTAAGAAGCCCAATCCCCATCCTAACATTTTGCTTACCCATCATATACTGAAAGAATTCCTTATTGTTTGATTTAACTCTCTCAGCCAACCTTTTTTTATATACACTTTTCCCCTTTTAACTTCCTTTTTAACCTGCTCTCTTGATTTCCTATAGTCCTCCAAGTCCTTATTATTTCCAATAAGTTTAAATTTCTTGAATTTATTATGTTTATCCCTAATAGGATCTCTTAAACCTTTACTAAACCATACTGCTTTATTCAGCTCTGTTGCCTTTTTTTTTCTGTAGGGAATATGCATGTTTTATCATGGTTTGAATTCATGCATTGACTTGGGATAAAATAGTCTGTTAAAGAAGATTAAATTTATACAGGTAAAGAAAATTAATGATTTAAAGAAAAGAAATGGATATCTCAAACATTTATTGATGGTCTGGATAAAGTAATACATAATTTTTCAGTCAATAATCTTACATAAGTAGAAAAAACTTGTTAGCAAGAGGTCTAAGATTCTCAATTACACTTAGAAAAATAATTATTATAACTACTTTGTAATGGTTGAAGATTTATTATAAAAATTAGAGGAACTTTTGGTAAAATTTTAATAATGTCAGAAATATCAGGTTTAGCTTTAAAAATTTATTTTTCATGAAAAGGTAAATTAACTATATCAAAATTAGGAAATAAAACACTTGAACAGCTAAGAAAACAAAAACAATCATTTTTTATAAAACCAGATAAAGGAAATGGAGCAGTTATTTTAAATAGATGAAATTATTAAAATAACGTATTAGGAGTATTAGCAGATACAACTGAATTTTGTGAATTAAAATCAGACTCATCTTTAAAAATATACATAAACTACTATATAGGTGGTGTCAGTAATGTTACAATTTATAAACAAATTAAACCACTTGACTATCATTGTGGAATTTTGTATAGTGTACCAAAATTACCTAAAAATGGCTTTACTATCAGACCTGTAATTTGTAATATAGGGATTTTTAACCATAGATTATCTATTGTTTTAAGAAACATTTATTTTGTTGAGAATGAACTTACTCTGAGAAACAGTTCTGAATTTTGCACAGAGTTGAGGGATACAAAATTGGATGACTGTATATATATATATTATGCTATTTTTGATATAAATTCTTTGTATACTAACATGCCATTACATGAAGTAATTCATTTGATTGCTGGTTTAGTGTTTAAATATGACAAGTTTGTTCAAGGTTTAATAAAAATCTGTATTTATTGAAATAATTATGTTAGCAACTATGAAATCACGTTAAAAGTTTCATAACAAAATTTATGATAAAATACATGGAGTAGCAATGGGACAAAAACTGGTACTTATAGTTTAGCTAACTTATGTTTTGTGTTATCATGAGAAATCATAGTAAAAATATTATCTAGAAAATTTTATAACAATAAAGTACCATAGATATGTGGATAACTCGTTATTTTTAAAGAGAAAGAACTTGTAAAACTTCTTTGGGTTATTTAAACAATTGGCAACATGGTATTAAATTTACAGTACAAAAAGGAAGAGAAACTTAAAACTCTCTTTTCTAGATCTGGATGTTTTTAATTTTGGTGATAAGCCAACACATTTAGGGTTCTTTAGCCATATTGATATATTTACTACAACTTTCAAAGAACGTAAAAACAATATTCTAATATACAGAGCTTATCATATTGCCAGTGATTATCATTTATTTCATAAAGAAATTTAGAGTATAATTTTTTTTTAATTACTTGTTAGCAACACAAATACTAAGTAATTCTTGAATAAACTGTACACCCCAAATTCTTTGTTGGGTAAAGTGTTACAAACTGAGAAACAAAATTAGGAAGATTTTATGTAAAGTATCCACAACTGTTTCTTTGTTTTTTAAATATACATTAACATAAATAGCTTTTTTTTTTAAAAAACTAAAAAATCCAACTGATATATTATAAAATGTGTTTTATGAATCAATGATTGCCACCTTTGTTCCGAAAGAAGAGCACGTTCAGCCAAGTCTGTCTAATCCTTGAAGCCTTTACTAACACCTAGTTATTGATAATGAGGGAACAGAAAGTGGAAAAGATATAAGTGTAGTGTGTTCTACAAGAAATTAAGAACTAGGAATTAAAAGATTTTCTGTATTAAGAAATTAAAACCTAAAGTTAAATGTTAGTTGTTTATGGCTGAAAATGCTTTTGGAGATAGAAAGAATAGAATTACTACCACTGACACCTGGATAGTGAATATAAAGGAACAGTAAGCAAAAAAGATTTTGGTATAGTGTTTCAACAACAAAATTATTTTCTGCAATAACAAAATTATAACTTGAACTTACTGTTTATTATTCATTGCTTGAGTTTCTAGTTATATTGTTTTTCAAAACAAGATTTGTAATATAGGTGATATGGGTACCATAAGGTGATTTATCACAATGAATGCTTTAAACTAGTCTTTTGTGATGTAGATATATATCAGTGACTTGTAATATACATGTATTTGCACATGATACTAAAGTTTTTTGATCCAAGGTATTTAATTTGGTCAAAATATTTTAATTTAAAAGTTGTGAGAGATGATTTCTTTCATTTTATGCTTTTGGATAGTTTTCTGAAATGTTTTTGGGTTGGTTACAATTTTAAAAAGAATAATTCAAAATAAATCTTTCTGAAAGTGGTAATTTCTGCAAGTCTTTAAAAAAATAAACAGTAATCTGTAATAGTTAAAAACTGCTCAATTAAAGACTGGTTGCAAAGTTGTAGCACATATTTAGCTGTTATATAATAATGACATTTAGGTTCTCTACATTTTCTGGACCTTAATTTAAAATTAGTACTTAAAGATATGTCACTTTTTATATTTTATTAATAGATTCTACTGCATTTAAATCGTCTTGTATAAGTTAGGAAAAGGCAAAGTGAAAATGTTACCTAAAAAAATTATACACGCACAAAGATGTCTAATGCTGCTACATTCAAATAAGTTCAGTGCGTAATTGCATATTACAATTTTCACTTTTATATATGCTGCATTTATAGTTGTAGATATGCTCATTAATTTGTTAAGATATTGAAATTGAATGTGTTTTTGTTATGATTTTTAACTCATTTATTTTCCGTTGGGTGTTAAAAGATGCCAGTGTAACAAATCACTTCTATTATGGTTTTGTTATGCAGCAGCATTTGGTTCTCTATGTGTATATTTTAATGGAAATTTCCTTTTTAGGACTTACATTTCAGTATACATACATTGCCTTTACACAGGATATACCATTGTTTAATGATTTAAAGAAAAGAAATGGATATCTCA